TCGATGTCCCAAAACGTCTGTATTCGTCAGAGTGGAACGCGTGAAAAAACACGGAATGGCCGATTGGGGAGGCCATACGGACCCTAAACCCAAAACCCTAAACCCTAAACCTAAACCCTAAACCCGAAAGGGAGGCACGCTGCGCAACCCTGCCATGACGTTAGCAGCAACCACAAGCTGGACAAACGAGCCGATAGATGCAAACAATGAGGAAGTACCCCTAAACCCTAAACCCTAAACCCTAAACCCAACACCCTAGCGGTGTTGTCTGAGGTAGACATGGCATGCTACCGAGCAGCTTCCTCATCAAAGCTAGGAAGAAAACTCGGCTACACCGCCCAATCCTGAACGCTTGTGCTGTACCTGTGAAAGCTACCGGTACAGGTCGCTAAGGGATTCCGCCAGGGTTTGTAAGGACGTGTTCCTTTACAGGTTTCTAAATGCATTCGAGTTCGAGGATAGGGTTTCAGGTGTGGGGTGTAGTCATATTATGAGTCATATGTTATGTTATATTGCTGCAATCATCGGCGCCACTACATGGTCCACGATGTTTGGCCGCTCCAGCTGCAGCGCTCAGGACTCAGCACGCTCTTCAATGCGCTGATAAGATCCCCTAAACCCTAAACCCTAAACCCTGCCAGGCCTGAACAGCCTCAGGCGAGCCGCAGCGAGAGGCGTACGTCAGCGCCTAGCTTCAAGGCTCCATAGAGGCTCCAAAAAATTTCTCAGCAGGGTTTTCTGGTTCAGGGTTTAGGATCTGGTTTAGGTTTTAGGGTGTAGGATGTAGGGTTCCTACCTTGGCAATTGTATTTGCGGTTAGGATTGCAGTCTGAACGGGCTTTAGGGTTAAAAGCTTTGGAAGGTATCGGCTTTAACGGACATTAAACGCTCAAAGGGTGAAGGTTTCTGGGCTCAGGCTTTGGGTGCATATTGCATTGCACGAATTATTCGATGTATACCGGTATACCGCATATACATGTATGAAATTCTCAAGATTTGAACAACCTAACTTGTGCTGCCTTCTGCGAGCCATGTACGTAGGGAGTTCTGGTAGGATGCTACCAGAAGCAACAAGTCTCAGCATGTCCGGTTCAGGCATTCAGCCTCAAGGGTTCGAGCTTCTGATGTCAGGATGGCGGGTTTGGAATCAAAAGGGATCTTTTCTTTGCCCCAAAAGCGAGTTCTGGATTGGGGTATACGATCACAGTTCGGGTTTCATGATCCGGGGCGCTTCAGGCGCGCCGAACGAGGCTAGGATGCATTGGGGCTTGCAATACCTGCATTCCACGGCAATCGAGCTTGCAAACAGAGAATATCTTTCCGCTGCCATGGTCTCTCAACTACAAAAAAATCAACCAGCTGTTCCGCCTCTTACCTACACACTGAGGAACTTCCCATTTGAGAGCCCCCTGGTCTAATCCCGAAGCTGTGCATCCCAAGACCAAGCCCAAAGCTTGAAAACTCCAATACCCACATTCATGCAGACCCCGCCGTCCACCCATCGGAATCTGCGAGGTTCGGGTTGGCCTCACGTGAAGCATTGGGTTTCAAGGCTCAACGGCAAACCTACTACTACGGACGGTTCAAATACGATATGAGCAGCACACATCACCACAATCATGATAGTAGAGAAGGACACCGAGATGGGCAGCGCACGAAAACAATGCCACTTGGCGCAAGCTTAACAGGCAGATCGTTTGAGGCAAGCTTCAACCGTCGGCAGTTGACAATTTATCGTCTTTGTGAACGGCTGAAACATGAATCTTGCAACTCTGGGGATATCTTCCAAGCCATTGCCAAAACCGGCTGTTTGTCGATCTGTAATTTCAGTTTAATGCGACCAAAGGACAAGTGAACGAGGGGCTGGCAAGATCGTTAATTAACGAAATTCAACTCTGAAAACAACCTGAGGTTGGGACGATGGTGCGGGAAGACCATGACGCGTGTGAGGCGACAAATATACAACAACCGGCTGGATTGTATTTTCTGGCTGGACAGCGCATGTCATGCAACGAAACGCCTACCGCAAGATCGCGATATGCGACCGACTTAGCGCAGACGGCTAAAACGGCAACATGCGTGGAACAACCACGGCGATGGAGCAAGGCATCAAAACCCGATGTGCGGGGCACAACACCTGGCCCTGGACTTTCCGAACAAAGGATTTGCAGGCATGAGCCGCGCATTGAAGAACGGGCTGGAAACACGCCGCCCCCCGCCCTCTCCACGCTCTTTTGCTTCAACACCAAACTTACAGCACAAGCACGAGTGGGGTTTCCCGGCACGCTCCTGGGCCGACAATGCCGACGGCAACGAAACAAAACACTCTAAGGCAAGAGCACAGACAAAGATGGTGCATTCTCATCCTCAAATACGGTGTCACGTTTCAATCGATCATATGTGCGTTGGTGTTGCCACCTGCGTCAAAGCAAAGTAATCCCACGCGGTTGTATTCGGCGGCTTACGGCTCATAAAGATATCGCCAAACACCTAAGAGTCTAGCTCGCAGATTGTGGCGACCGAAGCTTAGCGTGGCATACTTCTGTTGAAATTCAGAGCAACGCCCAGGTCACACTGCCTGTCGAAAGTGTACCAGCTGCTACGTTTGTTCCTCTTCAGAGTTTCCCGTCCCTTTGTGTAATGTATAGGGGCCTTAATAATTAGAATAGGGTTTTGGGGCCCATTATACTATAATTATAATAAGGAACCCCCCAAATAGTATAGGTAATTATTTAAGTCTCTATATTAATGTTGCTGCTGATGGCAGCGGCACTCAACCTCATGGGTTTGCCGGACTTTCTGTTCTCGACTCAAGTCTGATCCTAAGTTTGCGTCTCCATAGTTGGGCCTCCCTTCTACGTACAAAGGTGCCACAGGCTTTCGGCTCTTGTGTTCAGGATCGCGCTCAGAAAGCCGGCAATAGTGGCAACCGCCAAGAAGAAGGCAGTCCCTTGTTGGAACCTGTTCAGGCCCACGAGATATGATGCTCTGAATAGTCCCGAAGCCTGAAACCCCATGAAAACATGAAGCCCTACATTGGCACACTCCACACCCCTTGAAAACTCATCCCTAGTCTCTGAACCTTGAAGCCAGAAACCCAAGTTCACCCCCGCAACCCCCAATTCCTGCATCCTGTCTCCACCGGGTTCTCGCAACCGTAACCTTGGTAAAAGAGTTCATAGGGCCTTACCAGGGCTAAAGAAACCCCAGACCCCAAACCCTAAGTCCTTAAACCCTAAACCCTAAACCCAACTCCTAAACCCGAAACCCGCAACCCCTCATCTGCCCAGGCCCACAACACGACTCTGAAGCGACTCTGAAGAGTTTAGGCTAAAGGTGAGACTTTGGACTGCAGAGTTTAGGGTTTAGAAGTTTACGGCTTCAGGCTTACAGGGTGGAGCTCAGGTCAAGGATTGAGGATGACTAAAATTCCTCGAAACCCCCTAAACCTTAAACCTTAAGGTTCCTAAACCCTAAACCC